ACGTCAAAGGGCATGTATAGTGGTTTTCTACAGAATGTATTTCTTTTTTTAATATGACCAAGACAAAGGTATATATTAATCATAGAATGTTAATGTTTTGTTTACTTTGTAACCATCATGAAAACTTTCTTTGCAAAGAACATCCAATTGCATGAAAGAAAAAAAAAACAGTATTCTTGCTTACACATGATTGAAAAATGGAATTCTGCAGAGCTTCACCTTAAAAGTCAAAATTCCCTTGCAAAGGGAATTTTATTTGCCTTGAGTAAATCAAACCCCACGGGGGTGATTTACTAACCTAAACACACGCACGCACTAGGTGCGTGTGATTTTTACACAGCAAAACTTATTTATCAACCAAAAAGTCTCTAAAAGCATATTTCCACTAATGCCATATATGGAAAAATCATCCACATGATGCATATATAATGCTGCTTCACAGTTTAGACAAAAATGGTTAGCTCATGCATTTACATTCCTGCATTCATCAACGCAAGCAACACAACGTAGAGCTCATTCAGGGCTTTGCACAACACACCTGCTGGGTGTGTACACACTACAAAGGTGTCTAGATTCCACCAATAGATCATGCTGGGAGGGAACACACTACAGAGGTGTATACTTGTTCGTGGCGTGTTTATAAGGTTAGTAAATCAACCCCCACGTGTCTGAAAGTTTTGTTGTTATGAAGAAAGAAAGAAAGAAAGAAAGAAAGAAAGAAAGAAAGAAAGAAAGAAAGAAAGAAAGACTGAACAAAAAAATCAACACAATTAAAATTGATGTAAAACCTTTTAAGCAGGGGGTAGAATAATGTTAGTGGTTTATGTACCCTGCCTTTATTACCACATATAATACGAAAGCAACAACGTGGAAGAAAAGTATATAAAAACATGGACAGCACAGTGGCTTAGTTGGTAGCACTTGGATGTGTTGGTAGCACTTGGATCTGCAAGGAGTTTGCATGTTCTCTGTGCATATATGGGTTTTCCCCCACACTCCAAAGACATGCTTGTAGGTAAATTGGTCCTAGTATGATATTTTTTTCTAAGCATACCCCAAGATAGTTGTCTCAATTCCTATTTGCCCTAACAGCCATCTGATAAGCGCTTTCAGTCACCAGGGAGAAAATTAGATTAAAAATAATACTTTAACGTAAATCTAAAACCCTAACTGGATGTCATTTAGTTTACTTAAGAACTGTGCATCATAGACAACTGCATTTTGTGCAATGGTTTAATATAATGTTTTCACCTTTTTTCATCCTGTATTTGCATCCCAGAGCTACTGATCTCCTCAGGTGCCTACATGTACTAATACCAGTGTCTGATGCACACCATTGCTTTGGACTGATTTTGTACCAAAGGACAACTATGCCTGCACAACGTGTCAGAACCACCACTTGTAGTCTCTACCAGGTATCCATGTGATAGGGTGACAATGCAGAAGCACAACTGGTAGAGAGTTGTCACTGCAGATCAGAAAGTGTCTGAACAAGGACTTTAATGGCAAGATCACTAGATATTTTATAATCAAGGCAGTATCTTTAAAAAGATTGAAAACAACTTCTGCAATGATATTAACATGCTAAAGCCTGTATTAAGTTTTAGTAATTTGGTTTATATTGAATTTAAGTACACTGCAATTATGACGCAAAGTGTGTGCTTGGTGAAAATACACTGTTACTTTAGTGTCAAAGGCGTTCATTCTTAATTGTTACAATATAATAGGTTTTCTATTCTTAAGCAAGAATAATCAAGAGCTTTCTACAATCTTGGGTACATTTTTGTTAATATTAACATTTTCTCATATGCATTGACAGCTATTTGTTTTCCTTTTATACCCACAAAATACATAAGCACTGTTTTGAACGTGTAGTATACATTGTTGGTCTTTTGACATGTTGCACCAGTTTTATGAAAAGTTCAGACAAAAAAAGCATGACTCAATGAAAAAACAATTCATCTGCATGTACACTCATTCATACACTCAAAAAAAAAGTTTGCTTCACCTTTTTTATATCCCTCTGATGTCAATGGTCCAAGTGATAGAAAAGTAGGGTTTGGGCATGGTTATGGGTACAAACGCAAAGGGATCGGCACATGTTTTAGCCAGAAAGTCTTAATTTGTCGCAACTAAGTATGAATAACTATATGTAATTGCTGAACAAGTTAACATACATTTTAAATAAAGAAAAATGAACATTTAATTTCATTTGAAAATAACACATTTTATTAAAAATGTAAAATTCAGTTTTATTCCAAAATAATTTTAAAATTACACATGTATGCAATGATATTTCAATATACACATTCTATATATACAATATTTTTTCAGCATTATTTTAGGCTAAGTAATATACCATACATCATTGTTTTCCATTAATTGTTCGGCTTGATAAGGAAATCCATTTAGTTATATTGTAATGATGGCATACATATAATAAAAACAGATTATAGTGAGCTACCTTTCAATTCTGAAGTGTCATATGAATCAGTAAGAAAATCTGTAAACTTGCAATATAGGATATTTCATTTGACAGACCATTATACCTCCTGTGCAATGCATAAAGAATTTCTCACACTACTGAGTTTGTATTTAGAAGAATAAATATGAAGTTTTAACACTGAATTGAAATGGAAAAATGGCTCAGTTAATATTTTTATTTATGTTTTGAATTTAAAACATAACCTGACCTAAAATAAATATTACTTGTGCAAGACTATATTTGTTTCAAAATAAAACACATTTTATGAAAAAAGTAACTTGGAAACCTCTACACAGATTTTTGTTTGTGAATAACTTTTTTCCTCAATAACATTTTTTTTCATTAGTCATTAGACACCCATAATTGTATTTTCAGCATTCTAGTATTTACTATGTTCTTAATAACAAAATAAATTTTGCTGAATCTATACAGTGAAAAATATTTTTATTTTTATTTGTACAGCTATGCATGTAGAAATATACTATATAATGTTCCAGTATAATTTTTTTACATTATGGTACACGGTATTAATATTAAAGCTTTTAGCCTGATGGTTGCAGTGGCCCAAAATACATTATTTTTTTAAAAACTTTTTTTACAATTCCGAAAAAATAAAAGTGGTTCCAATATTTATAACATAAGATAAAAAATAATAGGCTATATAGATTATATACATGTGTAACAAACAAATGCATGTTTTAAAGTATTCTTTATATAACTGGACAAATAACATTAATGCAACAATGACAATTTAGAAATGAGCTTGGGTATATCTATATATAGATATAGATATATATATAAAATATATCTATATATAGATAGATATAGATATATATATGTACATATATATATCTATATATAGATATAGATATGGATATAGATATAGATACACATATATACACAGTATGTACACATACACAGTTATGGCCAAAAATATTGGCACCCCTGCATTTCTGTCAGATAATGCACCACTTTGTGCAGAAAATTGTTGCAATTACAAATGTTTAGGCATTCTCATGTTTATTTCTTTTGTTTGTATTGGTATGACTCAAAAAAGTGGAGAACAAAAGCCAAATCTGACACATTCCATGCAAAACTCCCAAAATGGACTGGACAAAATTATTGGCACCTTCTCCACATTGCAAGAAATAATTGCATTCCAAGTTTTTGTGGAAAAGCATACACAATCTCAAGGTTACAGGTCCATCTCCAGAGATCTTAATGGTCCTGTGTCTACTGTGCGCAACCTTGTCAAGAAGTTTACAGCCCATGGCACTGTAGCTAATCTCCCTGGACGTGGATGAAAGAGAACAATTGATCAAAGATTGCAACGAAGGATTGTTCGAATGGTGGATAAAGACCCTCCATCAACTTCCAGACAAATTCAAGCTGACCTTCAGGCACAGGGTACAACTATGTCAGCTCACACTATACGTCGCCATCTGAATTAAAGGGACGCTATGGTAGGAGACCCAGGAGGACCCCACTGCTGACACAAACATAAAAAAGCCATATTGGAGTTTGCCAAAACTTACCTGAGGAAGCCAAAATCCTTTTGGGAGAATGTGCGGTTGACATTGTACTGTTTTCAGAAAAAGAAATGAGACACTGGATGTCTTGACTATGTACATGGCATTATGAAATCTGAAGACTACCAAAGAATTCTGGGGTGCAATGTAGGGTCCAGTGTCAGAAAGTTGGGTCTCCATCAGAAGTCATGGGCCTTACAGTAGGACAAAGACCCAAAGCAAACATCAAAAAGCACCCAGAAATGGTTTCAGACAAAGTGCTGGAGAGTACTGGACTGGCCAGCAATGAGTCCAGATCTGAATCATATAGAGCGCCTGTGGAGAGATCTCAAAACAGCAGTTGGGAAAATGAACCCTTCCAATCTGAGAGACCTGGAGCAGTTAGCGAAAGACGAGTTGTCCAAAATTCCTGTAGAGAGGTGTAAGAAACTCATTGATTGTCACAGGAAGCAATTGATTTCAGTTATTTTTTCCAAGGGCTGTGCTACCAAATATGAATTAAGGGTGCCAATAATTATGTCCAGTCCATTTTTGGAGTTTTACGTGGAATGCGTCAGATTTGGCTTTTTTTTCTCCACTTTTTTGTGTCATACAAATACAAACGAAATAAACATGAGAATGCCTTAACATTTGTAATTGCAACAATTTTCTGAGCAAAGTGGTGCATTATCTGACAGATATTTTTGGCCATGACTGTGTGTGTATAGATCTAGATATATAGATATATAGATATACACACACATAGATATATATGAGGGGTTACATTACATACAAGATTACCAAATATAGTGGAACTCAACATAAAATGGACTCAAATCATTTTCATGCTGCCTCAAAAAATCTGTTTTGTTGAAAGAAAGAAAAAACATATTTAGCCTAGTTGGTTTTGAGGCAGCACACAAATGATTATAGTAAATTATCCTCTACTATTGATTTGGCTAATCTGGCATGTTGTGTCTTGTATAACAAATCTTTTAATATTTATTTATTCTTTTTTTTACATATGTACCATATGTATTTATATGAAAACAAAATTAATCTTTGGGGTTGGGCAGGTGAGGCGTCCATGTAAGAAAAACATAATAATTTTGTCTTGCAAGCCCCTGAAGAATGCACTGTGATCTTTTCTTAAGTTCTTCTGTCCATCTGTGCAAATGATGGCACATTTCATTACCCTGAATGGAAGTGACAGTGCATATAATGTATATGACATGCATTGACTTCAATCCACAACTGTTGAAATACAGCTGTTAATTTACTCAGAGAAAGGTAGAGCACTTTCTCAATGTCATCTTCTTTGTCATCTATGGCTTTAAATAGTACAGAAGAGACATTTCCTCTACTGTAATGAAAAGCATCCAGGCCCTTATGTAACCTATCAATAATATTGTCTGTGGCTTTCAGTAAACATTGGGTCTCAGTGATGCTAGATATTTTCAAGAGTGTTACATTTAGCTGTCTTTCTGTACTGACATAATTTGCTTGGGAAATTTTGCAGCTCCTAAATCGATTTACTTAGCTTTACATTGCTTTCCAGATGGGAAATAATACTGTAGGCTGTGAATTATTCAAGGCCATGTTCATTAAAACAAACACATTTTTGAGAAAATCTCCACTCGTTGTGCTGTGCTTCAGTAGTCCATGAAACATATCTCTTTAATCTCTCTTTGATCCAATGGTTCACCATATTTGGAGTAGCATTGAGGCATGTAAATCTAAGAAACCTCCAAAGTAGCTGCTGATTGTAGATGGTCTTGCCCGCCTCAGGGATCTACAATTAAGAAAAATATATGATTATACAAGCTGCCCACACAGAAATATTTCTGATGACATAGTATCCAGCATTTTATGAGGTTTCTGTAAGTGGTCTATATTACCATGTTGCTTGAGGTTTATTTACACAAGTAACATTCTACAGGCAATGGCAACAAGGCTGCTGGACAAGTTGAGCACTGACTTGTCTACAAAAAATATGCAGTATAATCGTGATTTTCTGAACTACCATCCTTTCCAAAGTACAAGTACTAGAAATCAACTGCTACTAAAATATAGAGATAAAATAAGTGTTAGGTTGGGACATGTGTCTCTTGCCTAAAGTACTGCAGGCCCACTGATGTAAGTGTAACATACGCAGTTTGAGGCTAGGGTTGCTACGACCTCGCAAGCCTGGCCTGAGCCCAGAGGATTCTACTAAATGCCCAGTAAGAGTTACATCACCTAAGTATGACCCTATAGACAAACATGCTTCAGTCTTAGCAGAACATTTTATATACAACTTTATTTGAATCCTGTACATCCTCTCAGCTTCAATAGATGTTTCTTTTACAACTCCTTTTAATGAACTGGAGAATTAGGCATTTACAATGTATCTATTTTTACCTGTAATACACAATGCATATTTGTTTTTCACTAAATAGATGAATGCCCACTGATCAGCAATAAGCTTATAAACTCTATGCACAAATGGTTGCCTATTTACATACTTTACATACAAAGTATACTTGATTAATTTATGTTTTAAACAATAATGATGCATTTGATTTTTCATTCAAGTCATGCCCTCATACGTATAAGCACTCATCGGAAGAGAATGCCTTAGATACACTAAAAGACTTTCCCAGTTATCATCTCATCTCTGTATACCTTTATAATGGACATGCAATATAAGATATAGTGGAAACAATGGAGTAGCAAGGTACTTTTGGGAGATCTTTTGAGTACAATGATTCTGTATTCTCGCACTGCTGTCAGTATGACCAAAACAGTAATGGCTTAATTTTATAGCAGTGCAGCAAGGGTAAAAAGATCCAGGACAGGGAAGACAGCAAAGAGAAAACAAGAAGAGAGAGAGAGAAAAGAAGACAGGTGACAACAAAACAACCTAGCCCACTTTTTTTTGGCTATGCTTTAGGTCCCACAACAATTAAGAAGCTCAGGAGTGCCATAACTCTATTATTACCCTAGCAATTCTCGATGTCTAGGCATCATTTTTGTAGAGAGTGGAGTAGGCGAGATAATAGTAGAAACAGTATAGCTTTTATTACCTGTCATGTGCCGCTGTCAAAGCTATAAAAGTCAAAATAATAATGTACATTTGCAATCCTTTTGTCACAGTGCATACCATTATTGTAAAACTAACAATATGCTTGATGAGTAATTAGATCTCCAGGGATAAAAAAGAAAAACATTTTATCCTTTGGTTCACACTGACTCCAGTTTACACTTTAATCCCTTCCCCTATAATACAGTAAGCAATCTATTTGTATTCAACTAGCGGGTCATTTGACACAGCCATATGTGTACAAGTCATTCACAAGAGCAGAACAGAACCTCCAGGACCTGCATAAAGCAGCAATGGATCAACTAATATCATTAGAAACATTTTCCAAAGAGGATCATTTTGCTTTGTAATTATTCTAAAATCAATGTACTTTCAGCTGCTATGTTTTTATGTATCTTGAAAAATTCAATGGGGATTTTTTTCATGTACAGATGCAGGAAATTCTGTTTCTTCTATGCTAACTATAGTAGAATAACAAACATCATATGGCACAAAATAAAAAAGGATGACTTACAACTTGCTGTTTTTGTTTGTTGAAAACATCCAATCAAGTGAAAAAGAAAATAAAAAATAGGAACTTTCCTAACCTGTTTGGGTGTTTGAAGCATACACAATTTAAGGCAGGGGTGGCAAACTCAAATTCACCGGGGGCCGCATCAGCAGTATGGTTACCCTCAAAGGGCCGGTTGTATAGGACTATGCATCTACTCTTTATTATCATAAATAGTTGCCTCTGCATTCAGTTGCTACTGGTTTTAATAATAATTTAAGTAATAACTAGCCTTGAAAACATCCACAAGAAACTTTATTGGAGACTGCTCAGACTGCAGCAGAAATCCCTAATCTGGCGTTTTCAAGTGACAGCTGTCACCTAGTCAAGTTAATGATCAGGTGACAGCAGCTCCATGTAAACACATGCACACCGCATGTAATGATACGTGATATGATTACATGCGTCCAGGGAGAGTGATTATCTTCCTTTGCAGCGGTGGAGGGGTGGCGATTTGCATATGAATGAGCAGTGATATTTACATATGAATGGGCAGCGGCTTATTGATATGCAAATTACCGCGGCCCATTCATATGTTAATATCTCGGCCGGTACCGGGACAGTGCAGGCTGCAGGAACAGCACCAGCAAGCTCCGGAAAGAGCACAGAGTAGAGAGGGCTGGGGGAGGAGGTGTTTCTCTGGCCTCCCCCACCAGCGCCCTCTAGTGTCTACTGTGTGGTAGTGCCAGCTCTGCTCGCTACCACACAGTAGACACTGCTCTGCACAGAGTCGGCATAGCGGACCGGCCCTGGCTGCTGTGCGGGCCACATTACAAGGTCCGGCGTGCCGGATTCGGCCCCCGGGCATTGTGTTTGCCACCCCTGATTTAAGGGGTCTGTTATGGAAAATTCTGCAGAGTTAGGTATAGAATGGTTAATTATAATGATACTTTGGTAGTGAGATTTGAATGTACAGGCCTCAATACCTGGCATTACAGTGTGTCTATCTTTCTGTTGCATTTTCATATGATGGAGAGTGCAATAAGAAGATTGGAAGCACACAAAACTGGCAGAGAACATCCAAAACTCCTGGTGGTTGTGTAGGAACAGTTAGGGAGCCAAGACAGGGTGATCTAGCTGTTTCCAAATGATTCATGAAAGGTGACTTGTATGCTTAAAACTGGACCGTATTAAAAGTGTCCACTTTACTGTTAACAGTTTTTTTAACCCCTTAGTGACAGGGCTCCAGAGATTTTTTCTCATCTCTGGGGGCTGGAGCAATTTTGCAATGTGTTTGTTTAACCATAATTTCCATCTTCCTCTTTCATTGCACCTACACATCTTGTATACCATTATTTGAAGGACATCGAATGGGCTTTAATTTGATGTGACAAATGCATATATAAATTCTTTTTTTTTTTTTATATAAAAAAGGGAAAAAAGCCCCATTTTCACAGTTTTGGCAATAAAAATATGTACATAATTAGTGTAGTTAACAGAAAGTAATTTATAATAAATTTATTTGTCCTAATGTATAGGGTACATTATATGTCTGGGATTTCAGTTTAGTTTGGGAGTTATAGATCACAAATACAAAGGAGTGAAATACAATTTTAGTTTGGAACAATTTTAGAATGTGATTTGTTTGTCTCCTATCTTTAATAGCCTCCTCAGCTCTATATTTTCTTTTTTTCATTTTTTTACTAAACCTTTTTTTGACTTTTAAAAAAGTTTTTTCCTTTTTTAAAAAAATCTTTAAAAACGTATCTTTTATACATTTTAAATACTAGAGGGCACTAAGGGATTCTTTTTTTTATTTACAGGTGCATTGATACTTAGGGGGTTATTCACAAAACTGCCGAAGGCAGCCAAGTTAATAACCCAGCTAAAGTGAAGTGAGCTGAACCAAGTGATTTTTCGAGGGACATCGGCTGAGCTGAAGCCCTGGCAGCTCACTCGCTGCTGTTTGCCCCTATTCTCATAGGGTCCGAACGGCAGTGAGTGAATAGCCACCGAGCGGCATTCGGCTTGGCATTTCTGCTCGATACCTTCGAGGTATCGAGCAGAAATGTTTTATGTATAATATAGTGAATCTCCAGTCTTGCTTTAATTATTTGTCTCTTTGATTAAACTACTTGTACTTCATAGCCCAACCCCCTTTCTTGCTGCCCATCACTTTTTCCCAGTTGTACAGCATCTTTGTGCCATGGTGATACTTTGCTAAATACTGCTGTTAGAGAAAGGTTACGTTAAAAATAAGCAGTGACTAGCAGACACAAAGAAAGCAGCATTGCTGTATATTAAAGGGTTTCTAAACCCTCCAGTTTTTTTTGCATATATCTACTGCTGGCAAGCAGTAGATATATGCAAAAAGTTGAAAAAAAACCTGCTTTAACAGCGGTTTAAACTTACCCTGTTTTCGCCGCGCGCTCCCACCCGAGAATCCGAAACTGCTTGGCGGCCACAAAGCATCTTGGGGCGAGCGCATGCGCAGTTCGGATTTTCGGCCGGGAGACGAGCAGAGACGCAAGGTAAGTCTATGGACGCGTGCACGCGCATGCAGATACCGCGGGATCGGAAGTGCCAGGAAAGACAGAGGAGTCAGCGCTGGATCGGAGAGCCACCGCACCACTGGAGGGACAGATGAAAACATCAGGAAAGAAGAGGAAGATCGGATTAAGATACATAATTTAAGGTAAGTGCTAACATTGGGGGGAGGGGATTTTTTTTTTACTTTAATGTCACTTTAAGTTACAGCTGTTAAAACTGTTGCTTGAAGTTAATATTCTTCTGTTATTAGCAATCTAGCATAGGCTAATGTATTATATATATTATTATTATTATATATGTATTATAT